TTCTGCTGTGCATGGGATCATTATGAGTTGGTTCCGACTCGATGGCACCTGACAACAACAACAAATCTTTATGGGAACAGAAAGCCTCCTCTTATTCCTGCAGAACTGCTGGTAGTTTTGAACTGCAGACTGTGAGATTAGCAGTTTGACTTATAACCACTACACAAAAGGTTTAGGAGGAGTCCTGGTGTGGTGTTCTAGGATAAGTACTGGACCAAAAGGTAGGTTTGAACCACAAGGTTGGCAGTTCAAACCTACCAATCCACTCCTCAGAAACCCTATACAGGGTCGCTATGAGTCAGAACTGACTCAATGGCACTTACCAACAACAGAGAGAGTGGCAGGTTTTCAATTAATGGTGATACATTCACTATTTATCATCATTACCGCTATTGTTGCTGACAGAGCTTATCCTACAGCTCCAGACCTGGACTCCACATAGACATATATATATATAGACATACACACACACACACACACACACACACACACAAACACACATATATATATTTGTAGTTATGTGCCATCGAGTCGGTTCTGACCCATAGTGACCCTGTACGGGGTTTCCGAGGGTGTAAATCTTTACAGGAGTAGAAAGCCTCATCTTTCTCCTAAACCTTTTGTGTAGATTATCTCACTGAATTCATACTATAATGCCATAATGTAGATATTCCTTCTAATTTACTGGTGAGGAAACTGAGGCTCAACAGTGTTTAGGAACCTGTGCAAGCTCATCATAGTAGAGTCAGGATTTGTACCCAGGACCCTCTGTCCCGAGTTCTGCTTTGTGAAAGGCACATCAGAGCCAAGACATGACCGAAGTTCCAGGCTGAAATAAAGTCATCTGGGTGTTTTCAACCTGGGCACGTCCAGGCTTTACAACCCTGTTGATTGTGAATCAGCTGCTGCCAAAGTTCGCATGTTTCAGGTGGCAGGGACAGGGAGGTAATTTACTGCCTGTTTGTTCCAAAGCAATGGCCCTTCCTTCTTGGAGGTGCACGGGTCCTGTCTCTTAAGATGAGTGGGATGCTAGCTGGGGCCTGTTACCTGGCATGCTACCATAGATCTGATCCTATACCTCGAGCTTACAGGTCAGAGCAGCCAGCACCATTATCAGGAAAGTACAGTACCCCACGGGGAGGTTTAGTTAGCAGCACACTAAATTAAGCCGGAGTTACAGCAGTCTCTGCTAAAACTGTTTGTACAGCCAGAGCGGAAGAAGAATTTCTTTGGAGCAGGAGTCTGGCTTCTGTTTAGAGAAGTCCCAACCATGGGAGGGAGGCAGTGCAATCGAGTTGGGTGAAGGAGTGGGTGGCTTCTGAGTGTCCAGGACTAATCTCTAAGCCAGGTTTTCCAGCAGTGAGACTTTGCGCGAGTTGCTTTCCCTTGGGGATCTGAATGTGATCATTTCGCCCAGAGGAACCTTGGAAGAAAGGTGTGGTGATCCACTTCTGAAAACATCAGCATGGATTGGAGTTGTCCAGACAGCTTCTGTCTGTCTCTAATGTCAATATGTGTATTTTTTTCAGTCCCCATCTTTTCTTCCCATTTTTCACCTAATAGTATATTCTGGAAAGCCCAGCTCATCAGTTTATAGAGGTCTGCCTTAGTGAGCAAGTTTAACTTTGATAATCAAAAGAAAAAAAAATGTTTTTTGCAGTTCTGGGATCAAAATTTCAATGCTGTCTAAACCTAGTGGCGGTACTAACAATAACAGTGAATTATCATGGATAATACTTATGCTGGGGGACTGAATTAGGTAATCCTAATGCCTCTTAAGTAAGCCCTGGATAATGCAGGTGGCAGTCACTGTTGGGGCAATGGTAGAATGGTTGCCTGCAAACGGGGAACCACCACACTCATCTGCAACCACTGCCCGCCTGTCAGTGGAGGCTTGTATGTTGCTCTGACACTGAACAAGTTTCAGCAGAACTTCCGGATTAAGAGGAACTAGAAAGAAAGGCGTGGTATTGATTTCCAAAAATCTGCCATTGAAAACTCTGTGGATCACAGTGTTTTGATCCAAGATGATCCTGGGGACAATGCAGAACCGGGCAGTATTTCGTTCCCATGTGCATGGGGTGACCACAAGTCCAGTTCTGACTACAACTGTACAACTTCCAACAGTCAGGGAAGGACTTTTGCTTGACTCGTTGCCACCTCAAGAAGCAAGTCTCATCCATCATCCATGTATTCATGCGCTCATCTGTTCATGCCTTTGTTGGTCACATTTGGATTGCAGCCCTCTGTGGTCCAGACCTGTGCTTCACAATTCTTTTGAATTTTTGAAGCAGAGATTTAGCTGCTTCTCAGAGGACAGTGCCTATTACCTTAGAATCTGGCGGGGAGGGGTGGTGAGAAACTTTTAGGGATTTTGAAGTAAATCGAGCAGGACTCATTTCGTTAGTGGTCTTAGTCTCCTGACGGCTTGCTGTCCATCTTGGTTTCCTCCTGCAGCCAAGGCGAAATCCAAGTGTGGCCCGACCTTCTTCCCCTGCGTCAGCGGCATTCACTGCATCATTGGTCGTTTCCGCTGTAACGGGTTTGAGGACTGTCCTGATGGCAGCGATGAAGAAAACTGCAGTGAGTGTTCAGTGCGGACCCCGGGGTCCTCTTCTCTCCCTGCTGGCCCCCTCATCTCTGTGTGTCTCTCTTCCACCCCGACTCTGTCCTTTGTCACTCCCTTCTTGTGTGAATGCCAGGATGCTCACCTTAATAAGAAAGGCCCAGAGCTTGCTTGATTTTCACTTCTTATAATAACCATGCACATGCAGGTGTTGCTATGCCCAGTAAATTATGCAACTCATCCAGCTTCCATAGCAGGTAAGTGGCAGAGCCAATTCTAGGCCCACTCAGTTTCGTCTGCTTAGCGTTCTGATCCCAAACTCCAACATGCTTGCTTTCCTCCTTACTTTGTATTTAAAACAACAACAACAAAAAAAGCATGTTTATATATGAGTTATGCACATACTATGGCTGGGAGCATCCTCTTACCTTTGACTTGCTGTATAATATTCCCTGAAGGCCTGGGTGGTGTGAATGGCTCATATGCTAGACTGCTCACTGAAAGGTTGGAGGCATTGATGAACTCAAGTGTGACAGCGGTAGTGAAGTTGGCCCAGGATCGGACATTGTTTCGTTCTGCTGTGCATGGGGTCGCTATGAGTCGATTCCGACTCGATGGCACCTGACAACAACAACAGATGAGCCTCGGAAATCCTGTACAGGGTCGCTATGAGTCAGCACTTAATCACAACAACAACAACAAAAATGTGTTGCAAAAGACCTCTTAAGGTGTTTTTTTTTTTTGCGGATTGAGGTGCACCGTAGTTATTTTCAATCATCACATATGCGTGTGAAAGTGGGACAATGAATAAGGAAGACTGAATAATTGATGCCTTTGAATTTTGATGTTGGTAAAAAATATTGAAAATACCATCGACTGCCAGAAGAATGAGCAAATCTGTCTTGGAGGAATACTGGCAGAATGCGCCTCAGAAGCACAGGTGATGGAGCTTCATCTCCTTTACTCTGAACATCAGGAGGAACCAGTCTCTGGAGATAGGATATCAAACTTGAAAACAGGTGGGTTGATTGGTTGATAAGTGCTGTTGAGTCAGTTCCTACTCATAGCCACCTTGTACAGGGTTTCTGAGGAGCAACTGGTGGGTTTGAACCACCAAATTTGTGGTTTTCAGTCCAGTGCTTATCCTACAGCGCCATACAGGAGTAGGTTCAGTGAAAAGAAGAAGACCCTCATTTAGATGGATTGACACCGTGGCTGTAACAGTGGACTCAAACAATAATGATTGTAAAGAGGACGCAGGACTGGGCAGTGGTTTGTTCTGTTGCACACATTGTCACTGTAAGTCAGAACCAACTTGATCACTACGCATCAGAACCAACTCAATGGCTCTTAACAACAACAATAATGAAGACATGAATCTAGATAGTCATTATTGGTGGTGGTGGGCCACTAATTTGGTTCCAACTCATAACAGTGACCTCATACAGGGTTTCTGAGGCTATAAATCTTTACGGGAGCAGAAAGCCTCATCTTTATCCCATGGAACTCGTGATCCACTACATTACGAGGGCTCCTTCCAAGAATAGGAGAGTAACATTTTGTTATAGGCTGATGATTACAACAAAAATAACAACAAAGACAGACTTTCTAGAAGCAAAAGCCATGCGTTTTGACTGTACCCTGAGCAAAGTACTCACGTTCAGGACTGACTGAGTTGCTAAAAATTCCTTTCCTTTAGAAGAATCCTCACCACAAGTGGGCGCTATCCAGATCAGAATGTCAAATTCTCAAGGACTCCATACTTGTGACTATAAAACCATTAGGTAGAAAGCTGAGGAGCTTTTTAGCAAATGGATTAGTCTGACAATTCCTGAAACTACCCATCAGTCTTTTCAGTCAACTTAGGATACTGTGGAATTATTTCAAGTGCAATGTAGAAATCTTATTGCTCAATAGATCTCTTTATATTATAATTTTCTATAAAATCCTGTGTACATTTAAAACCCCACAAGACAATGTTATATTTTTGCTTTAAAATTTCACGTGTATTTTGAAGAACACCAAAGGATAGTCTGTTTGTATGAGGGCAAGTCAAATAGTATTGATACAAACTCATAGAAAGCTTTCTTAAGCAAAAAGATCAAAATGTGAAGCTGTTGTTTCTTTGCATAGCTTCTGTCAAGGTCTGTACACTTCTGCCGGTGGTATTCCCATCTCTCTGGTCCTTTCCTGAAGGATGTTTTGCTCTGATTTACATTGCCATTCTGGCATCCCAAAGGGGATCAAATTGTGTTCCTCTTCAATGTTGTTTGTGTTTGAGAAACAAAAAGAAGTCTGAAGGGGGAAGACAAGGGTGGATAGAGTAAGGTTTCCCAAGGAAATTCTCATAGGACAAACCTTGCTATCCTCAAATAATGAGCAGGTGCATTGTGATGGAAAACAATTCCTGGTTGCAATTTTCCTAGCCTTTTTCTCACCAATGCAGTTTTCAGTTGTCTTAAAACTATTTCACAGTAAGCTCTTGTTTTATTATTTTATGGCCTTTAAAAAAATCTCTGAAGAGTACCCCCTTGGAATTCTAAAAAAGACACTCACCATACCCTTTGAGCTGACCTTTTGCCTTTCATTTAACTGGTCCAACTCATCCCCTGGGAAGCCATTGTTTTGGCTGGGCTTTGCTCTCTGGATCATACTGGTAAACCCAAGACTTGTCCCTGATTATGATTAATTTCCTAAAATCACCTTCATTAACTTCAGTCTTGCATAAAAGAGCGATGGGAAGACAACTCTTGGATGTAACTGATATTTATGCAATGCTTTTGATACCCATCGAGTCAAAAGCTTCATGCTGAGGCCAAGATGTTTACATAAAATTGGAAATGTTAAACCATGAAACCCCCAACTTCAGGAACTATCGCAGTAATGGTCATTCTATGATTTTCTTCCACCCATTTCTGAGCTTCAGCCAGTTTCTTCATTCATCGAGGTGGATGTTCTTCCTTCTCTTGACTCACCTTTGAGGTCTTCGTGACCTTCCTTTAAAAGCTTGATCCAGCCCACAAGTGTTTTTTTATGTGGAGTAGTGTTCCTGTAAACTTGTTATAAAGCTCCGTTGATTTGGTTAAGATGTCCACTTGAATTTTGTTAAAAATCTGATACTAACCCTGACCTTAAATCATTTTCCCCCATGGTACAAAGAGTATCCTTTAAACACAAAAGGCATCTAATGAGACTAAGACAAGTGTATTCTTCAGAGAACTCATCTGCAGAGACGTGCTTAAACAAGTTTTATTTGGAATAAACTTGTGCATGTATGAATTGGAGCTTAGTAGCATTACTTTTTGACTTACCTTCGTATCTACCCATTTCGGTTGTTTTTCCCTCATTCCCATTTGTCTTTACCGCTGGTAGCAAATTCTGTTAGTTTTTCTTGATTTGAAAATATCTTTTATTTCACTTTGATTTCTGAAGGATATTCTTACTGCTCATAAAATTTAGTTCTTTTCTTTCATCCCTTTAAAAATACTGTGCTACTTCCTTCTGACCTTAATGGCTTCCCTTGAGAAATCGGCAGCCATTCAAATCATTTCCCCATAGATAATGCATCATGTGTCACTGGTCGCTTTGAAGATTTTTTGGGTTTTAGTTTTGAGCAGCTACATTATGGTGTGTTTGTATGTGGGTGTCTTTGAATTTGTAATGATTAGGCTTCTCTAAGCTTCCTGAATTTATCATTTTTTTGTCTTTTGCCACACATAGAACATTTTCAGGTATTTCTTACATTTTAAAAAATTACTTCTTTTTTGCTTCTGGGACTCTGATCACCTTAGTAATACATACCTCATGGACCCTTAAAGCTCTGTTAATTTTTCCTCAATCTTTTTTCATGTTATTGTTTAGATTGGAGAATTTCTTTGAACTGCCTTCAGAGTTCCTGATCCATTCCTCTGTCGTCTTCAGTCTTCTTTCAAGCCTGCCCAGTGAGATGCTTTTTTAAATTTCAGTTATTCAGTTCTAAAATATCCCTCTGGCTCTTCTTTCTGTCTTGCTTCTCTCCTGAGACTTTCTGTTCTTCTGTTTGTTTCAAAAGAGTTTGTGATTGTATGCTAGAAAGTTTATATAGTAAATACTCACTGTTAGATAGATCCAATACCTCTGTCATCTTGACAGTGCCATCTCTTGATTTTCTTTTCCTATGTGAGTTGACATTTCTTTGGCAAGTAATTTTGGATTCTGTTCTGCACATTTTGAATATTATTTATGAGAATCTAGGTCTTGTTTTCAATCACCTAACATGGATGAGAAAGGAATGAGTAAGGAAGACAGAAGGAGAATTGATGTGTTTGAATTATAAAATTGGTGAAGAATATGGACTATACCATGGACTACTAGAAGAAGAGTCCCGGTGTGGCACTTTAGGATAAACATTGGCCTGTTAACCACAAGGTTGGCACTTCAAACCTACCAGCTGCTCCTTGGAAACCCTATACAGGGTCACTGTGTGTCGGAAACGACTCGATGCCCCTTAATAACAGTATCACCAGAAGAATGAACAGTCTTGTCTTGGAAGGAGTACAACCAGAATGCTGCTTGGAACCAAAGTTGGTGAGACTTTGCCTCATGTACTTTGGACATGTTACCAGGAGAGACCAGTCCTGGTTAAAGGACATCATGCTTGGTAAAGTAGAGGGTCAAAGAAAAAGAGGAAGCCCCTCAGTGAGCTGGGTTGACCTAGTGGCTGCAACAAAGGCCTCAACCAGGACAATGACAGTGATTGTGTTGTTGTTGTTGTGAAGTGCCGTTGAGTCGGTTCCAATCCTTAGCGACCCTGTATAGGGTTTCCAAGGAGCAGCTGGTGAGCTTGAACCTCCGACCTTGCAGTTCAAACGACTTTGCAGTGTGGCACATTAGCCCACAGTGCCACACCAGGACTCCGTGAGGATGGTAAAAGACCCGGCAATGTGTCCTTCTGTTATACATAGGGTCACTGTGTGTTGGAACTGACTCCATGGCTCGTAACAACAGCAGTCTTTGTGGGAGTAGATAGCCAGCTGTT